AAGGCACATGTACTGATCAATAGTCTGACTTTATAACTGCTAGTATATTTTCTTTATCTTATGTGCCACATTTCACCCATGACCCAGTGTCAATTGATAGAGGATATGAAATGACTTTGAACAAAGATTTTAGCTCAAATATAAAGGTTATTGTGTGAAATTATGGAAATTACAGTCCGTAGTATGTTTTCACTTAAAGCTATATATGCCGTATTGTGTTTTATTTTAAAAGTAATAAATATATGTGGTGTCTCATCAAGTTATATAAGTTATATTTCCTGCAAATAAGACAATTCCACTCCATCACTTTTAAAAGTTATGAAATATTATTTGGTAAAAAATTCTTCTCTCCAGTTAAAAAACCGCCTCTTATGAAATATTCATGATCACGTTGTCTCGCATGTTTACAGCAAACAATATCCACTTTTACGAAAAGCGTGATTTTCTACGTTTTTGTACAAACACGTGAGTTAGGGATTGTCAATATTGAGAGCACCTGGTATTGGTTGCTTTATATACTAGGAATAATCACGTGCAGTTGTATTTTCAATAACATTTTCGGTTAAAGTGAATTAAAACGACTATGAATAAAGAAGTGTGGAAACCATGTTGCTCCAAAATGAAATAACGAAAACAAACAAATGATATACTAGTAATTTGATCAATCAAAATGGTTATTAGATCTATTCGATTCTGCATTTCTTAATAGTTCAAAACAACAAAAAGTATATATTCCACAGAATATCATGTATTAATCTGCACAATATACACAATGCCAAAACAAGAATACTACTAAACAATATAATTATATTCTTTACATATGAACCACAGTATTTCTGACCCCTTTAAAATAATATAAAAAATCTTGCAAGTAGGTTATCAGCATTGGCTCCGGCTAATTGAACCTGTGAAATTTGGCAGTAAATTGTAGTGAATAAATAAAATTTAGTAGTGAAAGATATTGGAAGTCTATTTTACTTGTCAGATTTTGGAACTAGTTGATTTTATTGTAACTGTTCATGTCTACCCACTATATAAAAAAAAAACGATGCTACTTACCTGAATTAATTTTTCTTAATGGTTGGTTGTGCCCTCAAACTGGAATAGTTTTTAAAATGGAATTCCTTCACCAATTTTATTTAATTAGCCCAACTATATTTTACGGCAAGATTTTTTGTATGTAAGTTTCATCTATATATGTCATGTAGTTCATATTAAAAAACCATAAAGGGATAATTGACGATATTCCATTAGGGTGTAAACATAGCAGTTTAAATTACTTTCCATACATTGTACTTGACATAAATTATTTTTGGCATAATGCACTCCATTGTTATTATGCTACCCAACGACAAATGTCCACTAGCAGTACAGCACGGGGAATGTTATATACAAACGGACCTGTACAATGGGTGGAAAACTTGAATTTCATCATTGTTAATCATTTGTATGCATATATGAGCATGGGATTAGTAGATAATAATGTACATAAGCAGATAAGTCTTCCTGAGAGCGATTTTATAAACTAGCCTTTTTGAAAAACACATGTAGTATTTTATGTAGTAACCCATAAATGTATTAAATGCAACTCATTGAGCTGATTGGTCTATTTGTGTCCCTCAATGAACAGACGTCACAAAAAATATTTTCCTCGACCTGATGATTCTCGCGATAAGTTTCCTGCGCACATGCGCAGATCCAGGATAAACGTCAGTCCTTTATTAATATGCATGAGAATATCGTGTTCTTTTCCTGACCAGTACTTTGTTAATACTGAATAAAATTTCGTCGAATTTGCAAGAATGCTTCATTTTTGGTAGCTTATCATACTCCAGAAATTTTTGTTGGTGTAATTTGCAAAAATACTGTTTAACACGGCATACATATCTTTAACTTAGTCTGCTATTCTCCGTACTGTGTTCATATAAGTAAATCAGGTTAGTAGTGACCTTGTCCAATTTTCCAAATAAGGCCATGGTCTTTCAAAAGTTTGTTTCAATTCTTTGTCCAGTTTAAGTCAATCTCTTTGGCAAAATCCCAGTTGTAAATGATCCACTTTTACAAATACCGTTTTTCTGGTTTGTATAGGAATCTGGATTTTAAAGACCTGGTATTCCTATTAGTCTTATATACTAGCATATTCAGATTTATCAGTAACTTCTCGGTTAAAGTGATTAAAACTTCTTGAAAGGAGAAAATGTATGGCCAGACCTGGAATCGAACTCAGAACCCCTGGATCACTAGTCAGGTCTTCTACCAACTGAGCTACTGAGGCTGATATCCACGGCCCCATCCATTACATTCTTCCCTCCTTTAGAAATCATCTTTCCCCCCATAGACACAACCCAAGTTATAATTTGTGTCTGGAAGGACTTTCATCTGCAAGTCCAGGGGTGGTCAGCTGCACCTTAACAGTAATCTGTAACCGTGAAGAAAATGTATGGCTGGACTTCAAATTGAACCTGTGTTATTTTATTTTTCAAATGAATTATGAACTAAGTTAAGCTATATATGAAGTCTTTCTCTTATATTCTGGAACTAAGAATATCAATTGTGGATATCATGTCTATTTACTATATATACCAATAACTCAATATTGCCAGGGGGTCTAAGCCTTTCTAAAGAAGAGGGTTGGGGTGGGAGGACATATGCTTGTAAAATTTAAAGCATCCCCGTCCTTAAATAGTCATTATCGATTTTACATTTTTAAATTCTATACAAGTTACAGAATTAGGTACGTTAGTCAAAACATATATTAAATGTAGATTTTCCTATGAATCAGTTTCTGTTCATTATTGCACTGTGTAGTTGTGAAATCATTTTGGTGTATTCATTGTTATTATTACTCACACAGAGTCATTCAGAACAGGGGTGTATGTTATATACATTACAGCAGAATAAAGGTGCACTAATTCTGAGGACCTCTCATGTTAATACTTTTAAACAAAATTTCAAGGTCAGATTGTTTTATATGAAGGTCAAAAGAGATAAGTAGTTATAGAGCTGGAATAATTGTAGCATTAACGACTGAAGTGTGGGAGCAGAGGAACAAGCACAGTAAAATTGATGAGCAGCGTTTGTCTTCCCTCATCATAAAAGGAACGACAAGTTGATCAAGCATCAAAAAACACAGGCGGCAGGCTCCTTTTGAGAAAACACAAAGTGTGCTGCCCATTATGATGGGAATCCAGGCAAATGAAGCCATGCCTCCTTTAAAGACAGGCAACTTGTTCCGATAATTGAAAACGACTGCTCCTGGGGCAGATGATGCACATTTGTTTAAAAAAACTTGTGCCTGTAATTTGGTAATTGTCCGCACGTGCCACCTACATCAGTTGTGTTGCCTATTCCTTTTCTCTGAGGGTTTGTTATAAAGCTTAGAGCAGACATTTATGGCTGTGAGGTCTTGAACTATTATATCCAGGCTTTAAGAAGAAATGTTTGTTTCTGAAAACCTCTGGTTTCAGTTGTGGCAAAATTACTGATGTAAATAATGAAATGTGAATTTTTTTTTTTTTTGCCCTTGCAGTCAAAATAAGGCTTGTTATGCTTGTTGTAGTTTAATAAAAGTTTCTCTAATGAGATTTATCATATTAAAATTTGAAAGATGTTGCTGCATGGTTGCAGGCTGTAGTCCAAAGCTTGGTTACACTGTACCTGTAAGAATGGAAAAGAGAAAGGAAGAAAGCTGTGCTACATGTACAAATATTATCTATGTGTTATCTATCACTGGAGTGTGTATTGGCTGGAAGCTTGTTTATTTTGCCCACTGTAAGCATCAGAGAATGAGAGTAATTTCTTTATAATAGATAATTGCTGTCACAGGCCAATTAATTTTCTGGTGCACCAACGTCTGTATGATATATATGGAGTTTCTATGTACACTGTACACATGTTTGAAGTACAAAGTGTACAGGGGTTAGATGATGTACATGTGCATTCCTAACAGTTTCTTTAAAGAAAACACTGTTTGATTTGATCTTGTATAGTTTTTTACTCGATAAAAATGTGCAAAGAATTCATGTAGTCTTGGGGGTGATGAATGAATTGCTTGAATCTGAGATCTATTGGAGGATTGCTGAGTTTTAATTACATGAGAGTGTTAAAGATTACAGGAATAGGAAGGTGTGAGATAGCTGTCCATTCTCCACATCTTCCTCATAAAATATTCCTCCCAACTCCCCAAAGTGTGCCAAATTACTCTCACATAAAAATCAATCTTTACACTTTAAACCAATCATTCTGCAATTGGGTTGTACTTGAGAACTTTTTTTTCTCACTTTAAAATCTGAATCATTTCTGATGTGAGGTTCCTAAAAAAAAAGCTTCATGCCTTCCCTCTGAACATGCTGTGAAGAACATGGTTTAAAGGTTTTACAAAGCACCATCAGAAAAGTTTAAAGTATAGGAACTGATTTTAAGTAAATAGGTTTTCAGTGTACGGTAAACATGACCAATAGGGCAAATGTAGGGAAATTCATAAATAAAATATACATCTTGAAAAAATTTTTCCTACATCTATCTAACTTTATAAGTCTAAGAGTCCAATCTTTTACTGAGCAGTCCAGAAAAATGAATTTTGGACTGCTGAGTGTGATATTGGACACAATTTGAGATACTGGACTGCTATGATGCTTTTTACGTCGAAGTGGGATCAGCTTTGTTCTTATTTAAAATTATTTCAAACATGGAAGCCAGCACAAGGTACATCAAAATAACAAGTAAAAGGTATAACAAAACATTCATTGACTGTGCATGTTCTTTGGCAAAAATGTGTTTTGTTGACCAATATGCATTGAACCAAATGGTTTGCCAACAGCTTAACTTCTGCAGGAAGGCAGTTTCATTCTTGGTTGCAACAAGATGTATGTTGCCCTGACCCTGCCAATAACTGTATAATGGAGGTGAATAATGAACCAGTTATTTTTAATATTAAGAATATCAGTAAAGAAGGAAAAGATCCCAATATGTAGCATTAAGTATAGATTTATTTTTTGTAGGTTGTATGCTATGTCTGGGTAGATCTAACTACTTCCGATTTAACCACCCCAAGGAGGCCAAGAAGATCAAAGAAGCCATGCCAAACTGCAGAATCTCCTGTGCCCCTCTGGCTTTCCTTCAGGGTAGGTTTTGCACAAAGCCTGGTAGAATATCACAGTCCAAAATGATACCGCTGTTTTATAGAGATGTCAAAATTAACTCATTTTCTTCGTACTTTTCAAGACTTTTTGAGAGACTCAATCTTCAACTACTGTCATTTACTGATTTTCAAATGAAACTTAAAATAAGTTTGTATATACATTCAAACCTCATTATCCAGAAGTCAACATGGTATTCAAGAAATCAGTGTTCGAGATATTGAAGTTCAACAGTAGCCATGTACTTATTTTAAATTTCCAAATGAAACTTTGGTAAAGGACACTAGTTTAATCAAATTACAGCATATGAATGAATATGGGAATATAGAACTTACAGTAACCTATTTCAACAAACATGATACATGTATCAATTTAATCAGAGGAGGATGATGTTGATGATGTAAATAGAATTACTTTATTGTCTCAGATGTTCTAAAGGCTTTGGGACATTTTCATTGATGGCAGCGTATTTGTCCTTTGGAGACTTGCCATGAGTTTTCCTCCAATAAACTGCTTTCTGCTGCTCAATCTTAAGACTCAGGGTTATTTTTTGTGGATCAGCTCTGTGGATCAGATGTTTAGTAAGGGAGGATGATGCATCATTGTCAGACATTGGAAAGTTATGTAATAGTTGATATCTAGTAAGCATAAAGCTATTAAATAATGGATGCCATTTAATGCAGACATGATAAAGTTTCTGATGCATGCAGTTTGTATCTGAAAGAGTTCTTCTACCTACAGAGTGATATCAAAGTGATGTATAATAAATTAACTCTTTATCAGAAGGCAAGTTTTATCAGAATGCATGTTGTTGTCTACCAATGCAGTAACCATGACAAGTAAAACATGACTTTAAACTTGAGAAATATGCATCTATTTCTTCACATTTATAAAAAGAATAAAAATTCAAATCTTGTAAACAGAAAAAAATAGGATGGAATCGGTTTTATCTCTGGCGAACTGAATAAACTTGAGCCGTAATTACGGCATGTCCATGCTCTTAGTTTAGCTTCTGCGGCTGATAATTTTAGAAGGGGTACTTCATTTTCTGATTTAATTATAGGCCTTAATCTGGCTCCTTTGCTCTCTTGTGTTACGTGTTATGGAGAGAGAGATCCATGCAGGGCCCTGATATACATAAACTCTGTAGGGCGATTAAGGTTTATACAGTGTAGATATGTCATAAAATTGTGAGTATATTTAACTTATGTATATCTGAAGAAATGTTGATGATGTTGGAAATGCTTATACAACTTGAGAAGAACTATTGAGTACTGAGAAAATTGGAAATCTGTTTGTCCAGACTGCACTTCATGTTAATACATATGCTGAGCAATGTGGGCATGTACTTTTAATGGTCATTTGATATCAGTTTTTATGAGTCTTTAAATGCTTCAGGAAAATTTGGTTTGGGTTGAAAGCAATAAATCCAGAAATAACGATGAATAAATTTGCTACTTGAAAAGGAAAAATTTGTCATGGGCATTATCATGGGGCTCATATTTTATAATTGTTTCGGTGGGTGCATATCTAGGATGTTGATGATTCATCCACACACATCTTGTCAGGTAGATAATCCTTCTGTATGTGTTATAAGGTAGTGTCTGATCTCCTGGTGTTTTCTCTAATCAGTTTTGTCTTTCAGGCCCCTTTAGATGAGGTGAGGAGGTTAATTACTATTTGATAATGTCTGTCTCGGAGCTGGTTAGTGGTAGCAAGTGCCCCCCTCTGAAAATCTAACTATCACCCAGAGCACTGCAGCTCAGTTTTTGCACCTTCCTAAATACAACCAGCATGCAAGCCCAGTTCCCTGGAGCAGTGGTTAATTTACTGAAGGTTTATGGCTAACAGGGAAGAAAGCTCCTCAGTATCTGTCCACAGTTGCTTTGAAGTAAGTTTAGGCAGCCTTACATCATTATAACTTCTCAATTTTTCATGCAACTTTGTAAAATGTCATTATACATGTATTTCCTGAAGACAGTTTTCTTGAGATAATAATTGCCTAATCTTGATAACATTAGCCCAGTATTGCCCAGTGAATTAGTTGAGCTTTATTGATGAGGCTTATCTAAGTGGTATAATACAGCTTATCTGATGCCCTGTCTGGTGGGGTGATGGATTATAGATGAGATCTAGCTGTATTCAGAGGGTGGTCTCTGTGACAGATGGATCATCAAGGTGTTACCTCAGGTCTGGGGTCAGACATCTGGCTAATCACACTACGGACTAACTAGGTGAAGGAGGCTGGCTGTGTAGCCATAATTAAGTATAATTAACTGGCCAGGCTTAATGTCAGTGGTGAATTATGGGTCTCAGTGACCTGAGGTTGGCCTGAAAATGATCAATGATGTAGGAGTTATCTCCCTTTCATTACGTCTTGTACATTGTAATTATTGAAAAAAAGTTATCTGATATTTATCTCTTATGATAAATAAAGAGAGGCCTCATTGAATGTATTTTAATTGATATATACAGTATACAAGGATTAATGAATTGTAGTGCTTACTGTGTGAGACATCAATTTTTCATGACTGAGTCATTAATGGCCAAAAGGCAAACTAGTTTGTGGTCTTTCTTATTATAAACAATGATAAATATGTTAATCTCCACCAACGTAAGTAAAGCCATTATTTCTAATAGTCTGTATGTATCATCCTTTCTAAATATTTATTGTTTCATCTTTTGCAATATGGCTTTCTTGCATTCATATGTTTGTACTTCATTCCGTAATTAACAGTTCAAAGCCTTTGACATCTTACAAAAACAGAAGATTATGCTTCTGTAATTTTCAGTAGCAAAAACTCACAAGGATTTCTCTCTTTTAATATTTGGATACCGAAAAATTTTTCTTAATCAAATTATTTCCAACAACCTTGTTACTTATCAGTAGCTTCTGCTCAAGATGTTACATTATTAGGCACCTTTGTGCTGAATTCTCTTGTAAGTTTGAAGGCAGATTGTCCTCTTTAATATTTTGGATTGTCGGGTTAAGTTTGAGAAGCTGCTGGGTTAAATTAAACCTTGGAGTAACAATATGGTATGGGATTACTCTACCACCAAGTGGGGGTTTCTAAGAAGAAAATTCTTGTTTGACAAGTTCTTCCAAGGTGAGAGTGATATAATTTCGGGTGATATAATTTGGGAAGTATATGTATGGTTTACCGGTAAACTGGAATTTTCGCTTCAGTTTTTAGGTTTCTATGACCAGTTTTTATTGTCATAACTTCTTGCAAGTTTAAAAAAGTAAAACTAGCCATTTTAGCATCCATAGTGGAGAGGATTTATGATATTGTAGCTGTTGATTTGCTGATTTTTTAACATAAGGATCTTGAAAGGGAATGGAAAGAACATGAAGAGAATTTCATAAGTTTACAAAAAATTTCATTGAGAAGCTCAGCATGATATCTTTGTAGAGATCAGTCTTGCTCATTTATGGATTGTTAAACCCTGGAACTCTGGAGTCGGCTTTACAGAATATCAAATTTTGAATTGCGCAAGCTGTAATGTCTAGCTGGAATCCTTGTTAATTCCTGGGCAAATACTTGAGAACTTGACACACTGTGAGTTGACATGTTCAGTGAATCCCATTGGTCTAGCACGGAGCAGGTTTCTACCGAGTCAGGAGTGTCGGATTGTCATAAATAACAAATTTATAAAATGCCAACATTGATTCTTATTGGCATCTAGCAGGTTACGGTGTGCAAGGAAGTTGTCTTCTTAATTTTCTCTCTTTCTGTTTGTAGCTTATTTTACTTTGTATTGTCATTTATTTGGTTGCTTCACACAAGAATTCCATTCCCTAGCTGTCATCTTTTCTGTCATCCTTTTGAAATTAAGTATTTTGTTGTCTTCTACTCATAACTTACTGAGATTTTAACTCTTGAGTTGAAGGGAATTCTTACTTTCCATGTCACTTTACATCAGACCCCTTGCCTACTATTGGCGCCCCCCCTAACTTCAAATCCTGGATCCGCGCCTGTTCCATGTCACTTTACATCCAATAAAATTGATGTAGGATGATTTTTATGCTATAGAGAAGTATATCATTTCCAAGCTTACTGCAGTAGAAGGAGCTTGATTTGTAGTCACCTGTCAGATAGCAGGTGATTGGTCCCATCATTAGTCTGCTGCAGTCTGTCAACAAATGCCAGGCAACTTCTAAATATTTTCATTAGAACTTGTTCAGAAAGCTGAATGTTTGCTTACTGCTTGGATAGATAATTATTTGCTTTAAAAATAATGCCTGTGTATTTTACAAACTTAGGTATTCATGATATTTTAAGGCTAGGAATGTGCTAAACTAAATATTTCAACTAGGCCAAGATCCTGAATTAAAAACATCTCTAACACTGCGTACTGTAAACAGTTATTATGAATGAAGGATTTTAAAAAAATATGTCATTGCATGTATTTATAAAAGCTTAGAAAAAGTTTTTCATGACCTGGAAATGGTTTTGATTGAGGGTTTATTTTGCACTGGAAAAACTGGTTTGCATATTGGCAAGTATACCAGATAAATATATGTAAACTGATTAAATATGCACATACATCTGTGATAACTGAGTGCCTTGATAGACCTGGGTTTTAAGAGCCATTTATTCGGATGAGCAGTGGTAGATGTTTCTGGACAATATGCAGTCAGAATTACATCCCAGACAGTAGGGCCTGATTTTCATGTGGAGAGGAATTAGCTTTCAATCAACTCCCCTTTGGAACCCCTTGAATTAAAGGTCGCAGAGGATCAAAACATACAGTGAAGAATGAATGAAGTTCTGCTCTACCTTTAATACTAAGTTGTATGAAGAAGAGGATCGTCACGGCTATTGTGATTTTCTATGGCCCAGGGATATATATGTTAGTGTGTACGAGGATGGTACTAAGCGAACAATCATGTTTGTGCAATGGCGATGACTTTGACGTGAGTTTTGTCACTCTGTGATGGTAGTTAGTGATCTTACACCTGGATGGAAAGCACAGGTGGGTCT